GTTAGGCTGATTGGTAACTCTAAATTGTCCCTAGGTGTGAGTGAGAGAGAGAATGGTTGTTTGTCTCATTTGTCTCTATGTGTCCCTGTTATGGACTTGCGACCCGTCCAGGATGTCCCCCGCCCCTCGCACAGTGATTGCTGGACATGGGCACCAGCGACCCCCGTGACCCAAAATGGAATAAGCGGGTAAAGAAAATGGATGGATGGATGGATAATAGGTTCTGTCAGCGGCTGATCGGGCCTGAACGATTGGTTCAGTCAGCAGCTGATTGGGTCTGAATAATAGGTTCGGTCAGTGGCTAATCAGGTCTGAATAATAGGTTCAGTCAGCGACTAATCGAGTTTGAATAATAAGTTCTGTCAGCGGCTGATTGGGTCTGAATAATAGGTTCTGTCAGCGGTGGTTCGGGTCTGAATAATAGGTTCGGTCAGCGGCTGATCGGGTCTGAATAATACTGTAGGTTCGGTCAGAGGCTGATCGGGTCGGTACGATTGGTTCTGTCAGCTGTTCATTAAGTCCAAACAACTGGTTCAGTCACCTAAACTATTGGTTCTGTCAGCGGCTGATCAGGTCTGAACAGACAAACTGATCTAAAGTGTTTCAGCTCTTGAGTCTGAATGAGGTTTATGAGTTCAGCTGATCTGGATCGGGTCTTTATGGTTCTGGTTCGTTTCTGTTATGAGTCCTTATGTCCATCTTGTTATGTCTGTTTGTGGTTCAGGACAGGGAGGTTTTGGATCACTACCAGCTGGACTGTGGTGCTGACGGGTCCTGGAGCAGCCTCCCTCCTCAGTGTCAGAGTAAGACCTGGATCTGACCACTGACCTTTGACCCCACTCTTTAAAACACAAAGTTTATGATTAAAACTGAAACTCTTGTTTTTCTTACACTTTTGAAGGCGCCTTTTGTTGATTTCAGTTCAAACTGACAGACTTGTGTTTGTTGAACATGTTCAGGTCCAAATTTTATTTAGAATAATTTTAAATAAAGCAGACGTTAATCTGCAGAACGGGGTCGAGGCCCTGGTCCTGTTCTCTCTCTGTCTGATTTAAAAACTGGAGAACAACAACATGAATCAAGACAACAGAAACAAGGTTTCTGAATAATTCCAGTGATATGAAACAAAAAGAACGGTTTTTAAATGTCTAAGAATCCATTGAATCTCTGAACCCTGAAGAAATGAGTTCAACTCTCCTTCGTAAACGAAGAGCTGCTGTTGCTGAAGCAGCTGAAGGACGATTTTAGGAGGAAATGAAAGGAACCGAACTGAAAACAAACATTTTTAGAACGTTTGATGTTAAAGAACAAAGACAAAACCAAAACTTTAAAAAGAGGAAAAACTGCACTGAAACAACTTTCCTCAACATATTCTGTTAATTTATTTCTACTTAGCAAAATGTGATTTTCTCGATGTTGGCTAATTCCTGTTTGTTTTTCAACAAATTAAGATGTATAAATGTATTATTTTGAAAGTCCAGGTTCAGTTCTCTTCCTGTTTCCTGCCGACCCTCTGAATGAAGCTCTGGTTAGAGACGACATGAAGGATGTTTGGGGGCGGCCATGATGGAAACAGAGGAGGAAGCAAAGTAACATAAAAGACCCACAATCTGCTGAGGCCCTGGTTGTCATGGTGACAGAAAAGGGAGGGGCAGCACCCAGCAGCACTTCAGGCAGAAACACAGAGTAAAAAATAAGCCTCAAACAAACAGTCTCTGTGTGAAAACTAGAAGTAGGATCAAAGAACTTCTTGACTCGTGAACAGAAGAACGTTCTGATGGTACCCCAGGTTCTGTTTGATTGTTCTACAGGGTTTTATGGAAGAGATATGACAAGTTAAGAGCTTTCACTTCCTGTTTGGAAGAGACAGAGGTCAGATGCCGTGAGTTTGACCTCTGACCTCTTAGTCTGTCCTCAGTCCTGCAGCAGAGACGCTGGGTGGACGAAGACCAAGTCCATCAAACACAGCTGACTGACCCACACCGGGGGACAGGAAGTGTTTTCCGACACTCCATGTACGCAGGAGGATTATGAGGAAGATGTTGATTTCTGAGGTGCAGAAACGGACCTTCTAAAACCACGGTGCACCCAGAGACCAGAACCGGGCCGCACCTCGTTCAGACGTTGATCAAAGGAAAGCTGATGCGTTGCTGACGGCTGCCTCTCGTCTGTCGCAGTGGTGGATTGTGGCACGCCCAAGGACGTCGACATGGCCGACGTGGTGTTCGGTTACCATGACAACAGCACGTTGTTTGGAGCGACTCTTCACTACGTCTGCAGGGAGGACGGTGTCCAGCTGGGTTTGTGACGTCATCACGAATTATTCATTTAACTTTGCTGCCAAAGTTCAGGTTTAATGAGAAAGTCGACATTTATTGATTCATTGCCGATCAATCGGCTGACAAACAGTTATTTGTTCTTCATAGTTTTTCTGTTTGTGGTGAAGGTTCGTTCAGGTGTGGTCCGACAGGTGAGTGGGTCAATGCCGAAGGAGGAATCAAACTACCAAACTGTCTGCCAGGTAGACACTTCTGTCCTCATCCTTGCCTGTTTACCTTTCTGTTTACCTGTCTATCTGTTTACCTGTCTATTTGTTTACCTGTCTATCTGTTTACTTCTCTATCTGTTTACTT